CTTTCCATCACCCCGCCCCATTCTCCCGCTTTCCATCAACCCGCCCCATTCTCCCACTTTCCATCACCCTGCCCCATTCTCCCTCTTTCCATCACCCCGCCTCATTCTCCCGCTTTCCATCACCCCGCCCCATTCTCCCGCTTCCATCCACCCCGCCCCATTCTCCCGCTTTCCATCACCCCGCCCCATTCTCCCGCATTCCATCACCCCGCCCCATTCTCCCTTTCCATCACCTCGCCCCATTCTCCCGCTTTCCATCACCCCTCCCCATTCTCCCTCTTTCCATCACCCCGCCCCATTCTCCCGCTTTCCATCACCCCACCCCATTCTCCCGCTTTCCATCACCCCGCCCCATTCTCCCGATTTCCATCACCCGCCCCATTCTCCCGCTTTCCATCACCCCGCCCCATTCTCCCGCTTTCCATCACCCCGCCCTATTCTCCCGCTTTCCATCACCCTGCCCCATTCTCCCTCTTTCCATCACCCCGCCCCATTCTCCCGCTTTCCATCACCCCGCCCCATTCTCCCGCTTTTCATCACCCCGCCCCATTCTCCCGCTTTCCATCACCCCGCCCCATTCTCCCTCTTTCCATCACCTCGCCCCATTCTCCCGCTTTCCATCACCCCTCCCCATTCTCCCTCTTTCCATCACCCCACCCCATTCTCCCGCTTTCCATCACCCGCCCCATTCTCCCGCTTTCCATCACCCCGCCCCATTCTCCCGCTTTCCATCACCCCGCCCCATTCTCCCTCTTTCCATCACCTCGCCCCATTCTCCCGCTTTCCATCACCCCTCCCCATTCTCCCTCTTTCCATCACCCCGCCCCATTCTCCCGCTTTCCATCACCCCGCCCCATTCTCCCGCTTTCCATCACCCCGCCCCATTCTCCCGCTTTCCATCACCCCGCCCCATTCTCCCTCTTTCCATCACCTCGCCCCATTCTCCCGTTTTCCATCACCCCTCCCCATTCTCCCTCTTTCCATCACCCCGCCCCATTCTCCCGCTTTCCATCACCCCGCTCCATTCTCCCGCCTTCCATCACCCCGCCCCATTCTCCCCTCTTTCCATCAACCCGCCCCATTCTCCCGCTTTCCATCACCCCGCCCCATTCTTCCTGCTTCCATCACCCCGCCCCATTCTGCCTTTTTCCATCACCCCGCCCCATTCTCCCTCCTTCCATCACCCCGCCCCATTCTCCCGTTTTCCATCACCTCGCCCCATTCTCCCGCTTTCCATCACCCCGCCCCATTCTCCCTCTTTCCATCACCCCGCCCCATTCTCCCTCCTTCCATCACCCCGCCCCATTCTCCCGTTTTCCATCACCTCGCCCCATTCTCCCGCTTTCCATCACCCCACCCCATTCTCCCTCTTTCCATCACCCCGCCCCATTCTCCCGCTTTCCATCACCCCGCCCCATTCTCCCTCTTTCCATCACCCCGCCCCATTCTCCCGCTTTCCATCACCTCGCCCCATTCTCCCTCTTTCCATCACCCCGCCCCATTCTCCCGTTTTCCATCACCTCGCCCCATTCTCCCGCTTTCCATCACCTCGCCCCATTCTCCCTCTTTCCATCACCCCGCCCCGTTCTCCCTCTTTCCATCACCCCGCCCCATTCTCCCGCTTTCTATCATGCCGCCCCATTCTCCCGCTTTCCATCACCCCGCCCCATTCTCCCTCTTTCCATCACCCTGCCCCATTCTCCCTCTTTCCATCACCCCGCCCAATTCTCCCGCTTTCCATCACCCCGCCCCATTCTCCCGCTTTCCATCACCCCGCCCCATTTTCCCGCTTTCCATCACCCCGCCCCATTCTCCCACTTTCCATCACCCCGCCCCATTCTCCCGCTTTCTATCACCCCGCCCCATTCTTCCGCTTTCCATCACCCCGCCCCATTCTCCCGCTTTCCATCACCCCGCCCCATTCTCCCGCTTTCCATCACCCCGCCCCATTCTCCCGCTTTCCATCACCCCGCCCCATTCTCCCGCTTTCCATCACCCTGCCCCATTCTCCCGCTTTCCATCACCCCGGCCCATTCTCCCGCTTTCCATCACCCCGGCCCATTCTCCCGCTTTCCATCACCCCGCCCCATTCTCCCGCTTCCCATCACCCCTCCCCATTCTCTCTCTACCATCACCCCGCCCCATTCTCCTGCTTTCCATCACCCCGCCCCATTCTCTCGCTTTCCATCACCCTGCCCCATTCTCCCACTTTCCATCACCCCGCCCCATTCTCCCGCTTTCCATCACCCCGCCGCACTCTCCCGCTTTCCATCACCCCGCCCCATTCTCCCGCTTTCCATCACCCCGCCCCATTCTCCCGCTTTCTATCACCCCGCCCCATTCTCCCGCTTTCCATCACCCCGCCCCATTCTCCCGCTTTCCATCACCCCGCCCCATTCTCCCGCTTTCCATCACCCCGCCCCATTCTCCCGCTTTCCATCACCCCGCCCCATTCTCCCGCTTTCCATCACCCCACCCCATTCTCCCTCTTTCCATCACCCCGCCCCATTCTCCCGCTTTCCATCACCCCGCCCCATTCTCCCTCCTTCCATCACCCCGCCCCATTCTCCCTCTTTCCATCACCCCGCCCCATTCTCCCTGCTTCCATCACCCCGTCCCATTCTCCCGCTTTCCATCACCTCGCCCCATTCTCCCGCTTTCCATCACCCCGCCCCATTCTCCCTCTTTCCATCACCCCGCCCCATTCTCCATGCTTCCATCACCCCGCCCCATTCTCCCGTTTTCCATCACCCCGCCCCATTCTCCCGCTTTTCATCACCCCGCCCCATTCTCCCTCTTTCCATCACCCCGCCCCATTCTCCCGCTTTCCATCACCCCGCCCCATTCTCCCTCTTTCCATCACCCCGCCCCATTCTCCTGCTTTCCATCATCCCGCCTTATTCTCCCTCTTTCCATCACCCTGCCCCATTCTCCCGCTTTCCATCACCCCTCCCCATTCTCCCTCTTTCCATCACCCCGCCCCATTCTCCTTGTTAATTTCCATCACCCCGCCCCATTCTCCCTCTTTCCATCACCCCACCCCATTCTCCCGCTTTCCATCACCTCGCCCCATTCTTCCGCTTTCCATCACCCCGCCCCATTCTCCCTCTTTCCATCACCCCGCCCCATTCTCCCGCTTTCCATCACCCCGCCCCATTCTTCCGATTTCCATCAACCCGCCCCATTCAACCGCTTTCCATCACCCCGTCCCATTCTCCCTCTTTCCATCACCCCGCCCCATTCTCCCGATTTCCATCACCCCGCCCCATTCTCCCGCTTTCCATCACCCCGCCCCATTCTCCCGCTTTCCATCACCCGGCCCCATTCTCCCGCTTTCCATCACGCCGCCCCATTCTCCCGCTTTCCATCACCCCGCCCCATTCTCCCGCTTTCCATCACCCCGCCCCATTATCCCGCTTTCTATCACCCGCCCAATTCTCCCGCTTTCCATCACCCCGCCCCATTCTCCCGCTTTCCATCACCCCGCCCCATTCTCCCACTTTCCATCACCCTGCCCCATTCTCCCTCTTTCCATCACCCCGCCTCATTCTCCCGCTTTCCATCACCCCGCCCCATTCTCCCGCTTTCCATCACCCCGCCCCATTCTCCCGCTTTCCATCAACCCGCCCCATTCTCCCGCTTTCCATCACCCCGCCCCATTCTCCCTCTTTCCATCACCTCGCCCCATTCTCCCGCTTTCCATCACCCCTCCCCATTCTCCCTCTTTCCATCACCCCGCCCCATTCTCCCGCTTTCCATCACCCCACCCCATTCTCCCGCTTTCCATCACCCCGCCCCATTCTCCCGATTTCCATCACCCGCCCCATTCTCCCGCTTTCCATCACCCCGCCCCATTCTCCCGCTTTCCATCACCCCGCCCTATTCTCCCGCTTTCCATCACCCTGCCCCATTCTCCCTCTTTCCATCACCCCGCCCCATTCTCCCGCTTTCCATCACCCCGCCCCCACTCTCCCGCTTTCCATCACCCCGCCCCATTCTCCCGCTTTCCATCACCCCGCCCCATTCTCCCTCTTTCCATCACCTCGCCCCATTCTCCCGCTTTCCATCACCCCTCCCCATTCTCCCTCTTTCCATCACCCCACCCCATTCTCCCGCTTTCCATCACCCCGCCCCATTCTCCCGCTTTCCATCACCCCGCCCCATTCTCCCGCTTTCCATCACCCCGCCCCATTCTCCCTCTTTCCATCACCTCGCCCCATTCTCCCGCTTTCCATCACCCCTCCCCATTCTCCCTCTTTCCATCACCCCGCCCCATTCTCCCGCTTTCCATCACCCCGCCCCATTCTCCCGCTTTCCATCACCCCGCCCCATTCTCCCGCTTTCCATCACCCCGCCCCATTCTCCCTCTTTCCATCACCTCGCCCCATTCTCCCGTTTTCCATCACCCCTCCCCATTCTCCCTCTTTCCATCACCCCGCCCCATTCTCCCGCTTTCCATCACCCCGCTCCATTCTCCCGCCTTCCATCACCCCGCCCCATTCTCCCTCTTTCCATCACCCCGCCCCATTCTCCCGCTTTCCATCACCCCGCCCCATTCTTCCTGCTTCCATCACTTCGCCCCATTCTGCCTTTTTCCATCACCCCGCCCCATTCTCCCTCCTTCCATCACCCCGCCCCATTCTCCCGTTTTCCATCACCTCGCCCCATTCTCCCGCTTTCCATCACCCCGCCCCATTCTCCCTCTTTCCATCACCCCGCCCCATTCTCCCTCCTTCCATCACCCCGCCCCATTCTCCCGTTTTCCATCACCTCGCCCCATTCTCCCGCTTTCCATCACCCCACCCCATTCTCCCTCTTTCCATCACCCCGCCCCATTCTCCCGCTTTCCATCACCCCGCCCCATTCTCCCTCTTTCCATCACCCCGCCCCATTCTCCCGCTTTCCATCACCTCGCCCCATTCTCCCTCTTTCCATCACCCCGCCCCATTCTCCCGTTTTCCATCACCTCGCCCCATTCTCCCGCTTTCCATCACCTCGCCCCATTCTCCCTCTTTCCATCACCCCGCCCCATACTCCCGCTTTCCATCACCCCACCCCATTCTCCCTCTTTCCATCACCCCGCCCCATTCTCCCGCTTTCCATCACCCTGCCCCATTCTCCCTCTTTCCATCACCCCGCCCCATTCTCCCGCTTTCCATCACCCCGCCCCATTCTCCCTCTTTCCATCACCCCGCCCCATTCTCCCGCTTTCCATCACCCCGCCCCATTCTCCCTCTTTCCATCACCCCGCCCCATTCTCCCGATTTCCATCACCCCGCCCCATTCTCCCGCTTTCCATCACCCCGCCCTATTCTCCCGCTTTCCATCAACCCGCCCCATTCTCCCGCTTTCCATCACCCCGCCCCATTCTCCCGCTTTCCATCACCCCGCCCCATTCTCCCGCTTTCCATCACCCCGCCCCATTCTCCCGCTTTCCATCACCCGCCCCATTCTCCCGCTTTCCATCACCCCGCCCCATTCTCCCGCTTTCCATCATCCCGCCCCATTCTCCCGCTTTCCATCATCCCGCCCCATTCTCCTCTTTCCATCACCCTCCCCGTTCTCCCGCTTTCCATCACCCCGCCCCGTTCTCCCGCTTTTTTCACCCCGCCCCATTCTCCCTCTTTCCATCACCCCGCACAATTCTCCCGCTTTCCATCACCCCGCCCCATTCTCCCTCTTTCTATCACCCCGCCCCATTCTCCCGCTTTCCATCACCCCGGCCCATTCTCCCACTTTCCATCACCCCGCCCCATTCTCCCGCTTTCCATCACCCCGCCCCATTCTCCCTCTTTCCATCACCTCGCCCCATTCTCCCGTTTTCCATCACCCCTCCCCATTCTCCCGCTTTCCATCAACCCGCCCCATTCTCTCTCTTTTCATCAGCCCGCCTCATTCTCCCTCTTTCCATCACCCCGCCCCATTCTCCCTCTTTCCATCACCCTGCACGATTCTCCCGCTTTCCATCACCCCGCCCCATTCTCCCTCTTTCTATCACCCCGCCCCATTCTCCCGCTTTCCATCACCCCGCCCAATTCTCCCGCTTTCCATCACCCCACCCCATTCTCCCGCTTTCCATCACCCCTCCCCATTCTCCCGCTTTCCATCACCCCGCCCCATTCTGGTCCACGTGTTTGTTGGACCAACAAGCCAGTTGGTCCACGTGTTTGTTGGACCAACAAGCCAGTTGCTCCACGTGTTTGTTGGACCAACAAGCCAGTTGCTCCACGTGGTCGACGTGTTTGTTGGACCAACAAGCGAGGTGGTCGACGTGTTTGATGGACCAACAAGCGAGGTGGTCGACGTGTTTGATGGACCAACAAGCCAGGTGGTCGACGTGTTTGATGGACCAACAAGCGAGGTGGTCGACGTGTTTGATGGACCAACAAGCCAGGTGGTCGACGTGTTTGATGGACCAACAAGCCAGGTGGTCGACGTGTTTGATGGACCAACGAGCCAGGTGGTCGACGTGTTTGATGGACCAACGAGCCAGGTGGTCGACGTGTTTGATGGACCAACGAGCCAGTTGGTCCACGTGTTTGATGGACCAACGAGCCAGTTGGTCGACGTGTTTGATGGACCAACGAGCCAGTTGGTCCACGTGTTTGATGGACCAACGAGCCAGTTGGTCCACGTGTTTGATGGACCAACGAGCCAGTTGGTCCACGTGTTTGATGGACCAACGAGCCAGTTGGTCCACGTGTTTGATGGACCAACGAGCCAGTTGGTCCACGTGTTTGATGGACCAACGAGCTAGGTGGTCCACGTGTTTGATGGACCAACGAGCCAGGTGGTCGACGTGTTTGATGGACCAACGAGGCAGATGGTCGACGTGTTTGATGGACCAACGAGGCCGTTAGTCGACGTGTTTGATGGACCAACGAGGCCGTTGGTCGACGTGTTTGATGGACCAACGAGCCAGTTGGTCGACGTGTTTGATGGACCAACGAGCCAGTTGGTCGACGTGTTCCATGCACCAACGAGCCAGTTGGTCGACGTGTTCCATGCACCAACGAGCCAGTTGGTCGACGTGTTCCATGCACCAACGAGCCAGTTGGTCGACGTGTTCCATGCACCAACGAGCCAGTTGGTCGACGTGTTCCATGCACCAACGAGCCAGTTGGTCCGCGTGTTCCATGCACCAACGAGCCAGCTGGTCCACGTGTTCGATGGACCAACAAGCCAGCTGGTCCGCGTGTTTGTTGGACCAACAAGCCAGCTGGTCCACGTGTTCGATGGACCAACAAGCCAGCTGGTCCACGTGTTTGTTGGACCAACAAGCCAGCTGGTCCACGTGTTTGATGGACCAACAAGCCAGCTGGTCCACGTGTTTGATGGACCAACAAGCCAGCTGGTCCACGTGTTCGTTGGACCAACAAGCCAGTTGGTCCACGTGTTCGATGGACCAACAAGCCAGTTGGTCCACGTGTTCGATGGACCAACAAGCTAGTTGGTCCCCGTCTTCGTTGGACCAACAAGCCAGTTGGTCCACGTGTTTGTTGGACCAACAAGCCAGTTGGACCAACTGGCTAGTTGGTCCACGTGTTCGATGGACCAACAAGCCAGTTGGTCCACGCGTTCGATGGACCAACAAGCCAGTTGGTCCACGCGTTCGATGGACCAACAAGCCAGTTGGTCCACGCGTTCGATGGACCAACAAGCCAGTTGGTCCACGCGTTCGATGGACCAACAAGCCAGTTGGTCCACGCGTTCGTTGGACCAACAAGCCAGTTGGTCCACGCGTTCGATGGACCAACAAGCCAGTTGGTCCACGCGTTCGATGGACCAACAAGCCAGTTGGTCCACGCGTTCGATGGACCAACAAGCCAGTTGGTCCACGCGTTCGATGGACCAACAAGCCAGTTGGTCCACGCGTTCGATGGACCAACAAGCCAGTTGGTCCACGCGTTCGATGGACCAACAAGCCAGTTGGTCCACGCGTTCGATGGACCAACAACCAACAAGCCAGTTGGTCCACGCGTTCGATGGACCAACAAGCCAGTTGGTCCACGCGTTCGATGGACCAACAACCAACAAGCCAGTTGGTCCACGCGTTCGATGGACCAACAAGCCAGTTGGTCCACGCGTTCGATGGACCAACAACCAACAAGCCAGTTGGTCCACGCGTTCGATGGACCAACAAGCCAGTTGGTCCACGCGCTCGATGGACCAACAAGCCAGTTGGTCCACGCGCTCGATGGACCAACAAGCCAGTTGGTCCACGCGCTCGATGGACCAACAAGCCAGTTGGTCCACGCGCTCGATGGACCAACAAGCCAGTTGGTCCACGCGCTCGATGGACCAACAAGCCAGTTAGTCCACGCGTTCGTTGGACCAACAAGCCAGTTGGTCCACGCGCTCGATGGACCAACAAGCCAGTTGGTCCACGCGCTCGATGGACCAACAAGCCAGTTGGTCCACGCGCTCGATGGACCAACAAGCCAGTTGGTCCACGCGTTCGATGGACCAACAAGCCAGTTGGTCCACGCGCTCGTTGGACCAACAAGCCAGTTGGTCCACGCGCTCGTTGGACCAACAAGCCAGTTGGTCCACGCGCTCGATGGACCAACAAGCCAGTTGGTCCACGCGCTCGATGGACCAACAAGCCAGTTGGTCCACGCGCTCGATGGACCAACAAGCCAGTTGGTCCACGCGCTCGATGGACCAACAAGCCAGTTGGTCCACGTGTTTGTTGGACCAACAAGCCAGCTGGTCCACGTGTTTGTTGGACCAACAAGCCAGCTGGTCCACGTGTTTGTTGGACCAACAAGCCAGCTGGTCCACGTGTTTGTTGGACCAACAAGCCAGCTGGTCCACGTGTTTGTTGGACCAACAAGCCAGCTGGTCCACGTGTTTGTTGGACCAACAAGCCAGCTGGTCCACGTGTTTGTTGGACCAACAAGCCAGCTGGTCCACGTGTTTGATGGACCAACAAGCCAGCTGGTCCACGTGTTTGTTGGACCAACAAGCCAGCTGGTCCACGTGTTTGATGGACCAACAAGCCAGCTGGTCCACGTGTTTGATGGACCAACAAGCCAGCTGGTCCACGTGTTCGATGGACCAACAAGCCAGCTGGTCCACGTGTTCGATGGACCAACAAGCCAGCTGGTCCACGTGTTTGTTGGACCAACAAGCCAGCTGGTCCACGTGTTTGTTGGACCAACAAGCCAGCTGGTCCACGTGTTTGATGGACCAACAAGCCAGCTGGTCCACGTGTTCGATGGACCAACAAGCCAGCTGGTCCACTTGTTGGATGGACCAACAAGCCAGCTGGTCCACGTGTTTGTTGGACCAACAAGCCAGCTGGTCCACGTGTTTGTTGGACCAACAAGCCAGCTGGTCCACGTGTTTGTTGGACCAACAAGCCAGCTGGTCCACGTGTTCGATGGACCAACAAGCCAGCTGGTCCACGTGTTTGATGGACCACCAAGCCAGCTGGTCCACACGTTCGATGGACCAACAAGCCAGCTGGTCCACGTGTTCGATGGACCAACAAGCCAGCTGGTCCACGCGTTCGATGGACCAACAATGGTCCACGTGTTCGATGGACCAACAAGCCAGCTGGTCCACGTGTTCGATGGACCAACAAGCCAGCTGGTCCACGCGTTCGATGGACCAACAATGGTCCACGTGTTCGATGGACCAACAAGCCAGCTGGTCCACGTGTTCGATGGACCAACAAGCCAGCTGGTCCACGTGTTCGATGGACCAACAAGCCAGCTGGTCCACGTGTTCGATGGACCAACAAGCCAGCTGGTCCACGCGTTCGATGGACCAACAAGCCAGTTGGTCCACGCGTTCGATGGACCAACAAGCCAGTTGGTCCACGCGTTCGATGGACCAACAAGCCAGTTGGTCCACGAACAAGCCAGTTGGTCCTCGTATTCGATGGACCAACAAGCCAGCTGGTCCACGTGTTCGATGGACCAACAAGCCAGTTGGTCCACGTGTTCGATGGACCAACAAGCCAGCTGGTCCACGTGTTCGATGGACCAACAAGCCAGCTGGTCCACGTGTTCGATGGACCAACAGGCCAGCTGGTCCACGTGTTCAATGGACCAACAGGTCAGCTGGTCCACGTGTTCGATGGACCAACAAGCCAGTTGGTCCACGTGTTCGATGGACCAACAAGCCAGTTGGTCCACGTGTTCGATGGACCAACAAGCCAGTTGGTCCACGTGTTCGATGGACCAACAAGCCAGTTGGTCCACGTGTTCGATGGACCAACAAGCCAGCTGGTCCACGTGTTCGATGGACCAACAAGCCAGCTGGTCCACGTGTTCGATGGACCAACAAGCCAGCTGGTCCACGTGTTCGATGGACCAACAAGCCAGTTGGTCCACGTGTTCGATGGACCAACAAGCCAGCTGGTCCACGTGTTCGATGGACCAACAAGCCAGCTGGTCCACGTGTTCGATGGACCAACAAGCCAGCTGGTCCACGTGTTCGATGGACCAACAAGCCAGGTGGTCGACGTGTTCGATGGACCAACAAGCCAGCTGGTCCACGTGTTCGATGGACCAACAAGCCAGCTGGTCCACGTGTTCGATGGACCAACAAGCCATCTGGTCCAACCGGGTTGTTGGACCAACAAGCCAGTTGGTCGACGTGTTTGATGGACCAATGAGCCAGGTGGTCGACGTGTTTGATGGACCAACGAGCCAGTTGGTCCACGTGTTTGATGGACCAACAAGCCAGTTGGTCCACGTGTTTGATGGACCAACAAGCCAGTTGGTCGACGTGTTTGTTGGACCAACGAGCCAGTTGGTCCACGTGTTTGATGGACCAACGAGCCAGTTGGTCGACGTGTTTGATGGACCAACAAGCCAGTTGGTCCGCGTGCTTGACGTGTTTGTTGGACCAACAAGCCAGCTGGTCCGCGTGTTTGTTGGACCAACAAGCCAGCTGGTCCGCGTGTTTGTTGGACCAACAAGCCAGCTGGTCCGCGTGTTTGTTGGACCAACAAGCCAGCTGGTCCGTATCTTTGTTGGACCAACAAGCCAGCTGGTCCGCGTGTTTGTTGGACCAACAAGCCAGCTGGTCCGCGTGTTTGTTGGACCACAAGCTAGCTGGTCCGCGTGTTTGTTGGACCAACAAGCCAGCTGGTCCGCGTGTTTGTTGGACCAACAAGCCAGCTGGTCCGCGTGTTTGTTGGACCAACAAGCCAGCTGGTCCGCGTGTTTGATGGACCAACAAGCCAGCTGGTCCGCGTGTTTGATGGACCAACAAGCCAGCTGGTCCGCGTGTTTGATGGACCAACAAGCCAGCTGGTCCGCGTGTTTGATGGACCAACAAGCCAGCTGGTCCACGTGTTTGATGGACCAACAAGCCAGCTGGTCCACGTGTTTGATGGACCAACAAGCCAGCTGGTCCACGTGTTTGATGGACCAACAAGCCAGTTGGTCGACGTGTTTGTTGGACCAACAAGCCAGTTGGTCGACGTGTTTGTTGGACCAACAAGCCAGTTGGTCGACGTGTTTGTTGGACCAACAAGCCAGTTGGTCGACGTGTTTGTTGGACCAACAAGCCAGTTGGTCCACGTGTTTGATGGACCAACAAGCCAGCTGGTCCACGTGTTTGATGGACCAACAAGCCAGCTGGTCCACGTGTTTGTTGGACCAACAAGCCAGTTGGTCCACGTGTTTGTTGGACCAACAAGCCAGTTGGTCCACGTGTTTGTTGGACCAACAAGCCAGCTGGTCCACGTGTTTGTTGGACCAACAAGCCAGCTGGTCCACGTGTTTGTTGGACCAACAAGCCAGCTGGTCCACGTGTTTGATGGACCAACAAGCCAGCTGGTCCACGTGTTTGATGGACCAACAAGCCAGCTGGTCCACGTGTTTGATGGACCAACAAGCCAGCTGGTCCACGTGTTTGATGGACCAACAAGCCAGCTGGTCCACGTGTTTGATGGACCAACAAGCCAGCTGGTCCACGTGTTTGATGGACCAACAAGCCAGTTGGTCCACGTGTTTGTTGGACCAACAAGCCAGCTGGTCCACGTGTTTGATGGACCAACAAGCCAGCTGGTCCACGTGTTTGTTGGACCAACAAGCCAGCTGGTCCACGTGTTTGATGGACCAACAAGCCAGCTGGTCCACGTGTTTGATGGACCAACAAGCCAGCTGGTCCACGTGTTTGATGGACCAACAAGCCAGCTGGTCCACGTGTTCGTTGGACCAACAAGCCAGTTGGACCAACTGGCTAGTTGGTCCACGCGCTCGATGGACCAACAAGCCAGTTGGTCCACGCGCTCGATGGACCAACAAGCCAGTTGGTCCACGCGCTCGATGGACCAACAAGCCAGTTGGTCCACGCGCTCGATGGACCAACAAGCCAGTTGGTCCACGCGCTCGTTGGACCAACAAGCCAGTTGGTCCACGCGCTCGTTGGACCAACAAGCCAGTTGGTCCACGCGCTCGATGGACCAACAAGCCAGTTGGTCCACGCGCTCGATGGACCAACAAGCCAGTTGGTCCACGCGCTCGATGGACCAACAAGCCAGTTGGTCCACGCGCTCGATGGACCAACAAGCCAGTTGGTCCACGCGCTCGCTTTCCATCACCCCGCCCAATTCTCCCGCTTTCCATCACCCCGCCCCATTTTCCCGCTTTCTATCACCCCGCCCAATTCTCTTGCTTTCCATCACCCCGCCCCATTCTCCCTCTTTCCATCACCTCGCCCCATTCTCCCTCTTTCCATCACCCCGCCCCATTCTCCCGCTTTCCATCACCCCGCCCCATTCTCCCGCTTTCCATCACCTCGCCCCATTCTCCCGCTTTCAATCACCCCACTCCATTCTCCCGCTTTCCATCACCCCGCCCCATTCTCCCGCTTTCCATCACCCCGCCCCATTCTCCCTCTTTCCATCACCCCGCCCCATTCTCCCGCTTTCCATCACCTCGCCCCATTCTCCAGCTTTCCATCACCTCACTCCATTCTCCCGCTTTCCATCACCTCGCCCAATTCTCCCGCTTTCCATCATCCCTCCCCATTCTCCCTCTTTCCATCACCCCGCCCCGTTCTCCCTCTTTCCATCATCCCGCCCCGTTCTCCCGCTTTTTATCACCCCGCCCTATTCTCCCTCTTTCCATCACCCCGCACGATTCTCCCGCTTTCCATCACCCCGCCCCATTCTCCCTCTTTCTATCACCCCGCCCCATTCTCCCTCTTTCCATCACCCCGCCCCATTCTCCCTGCTTCCATCACCTCGCCCCATTCTCCCGTTTTCCATCACCCCTCCCCATTCTCCCTCTTTCCATCACCCCGCCCCATTCTCGCGCGGGATTTCCATCACCCCGCCCCATTCTCCCGATTTCCATCACCCCGCCCCATTCTCCCGCTTTCCATCACCCCGCCCCATTCTCCCGCTTTCCATCACCGCGCCCCATTCTCCCGCTTTCCATCACCCCGCCCCATTCTCCCTCTTTCCATCACCCCACCCCATTCTCCCTCTTTCCATCACCCCGCCCCATTCTCCCGCTTTCCATCACCCCGCCCCATTCTCCCGATTTCCATCACCCCGCCCCATTCTCCCTCTTTCCATCACCCCGCCCCATTCTCCCGCTTTCCATCACCCTGCCCCATTCTCCCGCTTTCCATCATCCCGCCCCATTCTCCCTCTTTCCATCACCCCGCCCCATTCTCCCTCTATCCATCACCCCGCCCCATTCTCCCGCTTTCCATCGCCCCGCCCCATTCTCCCGCTTTCCATCACCCCGCCCTATTCTCTTGCTTTCCATCACCCCACCCCATTCTCCCTCTTTCCATCACCCCGCCCCATTCTCCCTCTTTCCATCACCCCGCTCCATTCTCTCGCTTTCCATCGCCCCATTCTCCCGCTTTCCATCACCCCGCCCCATTCTCCTGCTTTCCATCACCCCGCCCCATTCTCCCTCTTTCCATCACCCCGCCCCATTCTCACTCTATCCATCACCCCGCCCAATTCTCCCGCTTTCCATCACCCCGCCCCATTTTCCCGCTTTCCATCACCCCGCCCCATTCTCTTGCCTTCCATCACCCCGCCCCATTCTCCCTCTTTCCATCACCTCGCCCCATTCTCCCTCTTTCCATCACCCCGCCCTATTCTCCCGCTTTCCATCACCTCGCCCCATTCTCCCGCTTTCCATCACCCCACTCCATTCTCCCGCTTTCCATCACCCCGCCCCATTCTCCCGCTTTCCATCACCCCGCCCCATTCTCCCTCTTTCCATCACCCCGCCTCATTCTCCCGCTTTCCATCACCTCGCCCCATTCTCCCGCTTTCCATCACCTCGCCCAATTCTCCCGCTTTCCATCATCCCTCCTTATTCTCCCTCTTTCCATCACCCCGGCCCATTCTCCCTCTTTCCATCACCCCGCCCCGTTCTCCCGCTTTCTATCACCCCGCCCCATTCTCCCTCTTTCCATCACCCCGCACGATTTTCCCGCTTTCCATCACCCCGCCCCATTCTCCCTCTTTCTATCACCCCGCCCCATTCTCCCTCTTTCCATCACCCCGCCCCATTCTCCCTGCTTCCATCACCTCGCCCCATTCTCCCGCTTTCCATCACCCCGCTCCATTCTCCCTCTTTCCATCACCCCGCCCCATTCTCGCGCTTTCCATCACCCCGCCCCATCCTCTCGATTTCCATCACCCCGCCCCATTCTCCCGCTTTCCATCACCCCGCCCCATTCTACCGCTTTCCATCACAGCGCCCCATTCTCCCTCTTTCCATCACCCCGCCCCATTCTCCATCTTTTCATCACCCCGCCCCGTTCTCCCGCTTTCCATCACCCCGCCCCATTCTCCCGATTTCCATCACCCCGCCCCATTCTCCCGCTTTCCATCACCCCGCCCCATTCTCCCGCTTTCCATCACCCCGCCCCATTCTCCTGCTTTCCATCACCCCGCCCCATTCTCCCTCTTTCCATCACCCCGCCCCATTCTCCCGATTTCCATCACCCCGCCTCATTCTCCTACTTTCCATCACCCCTCCCCATTCTCCCGCTTTCCATCACCCGCCCCATTCTCCCGCTTTCCATCACCCCGCCCCATTCTCCCGCTTTCCATCAACCCGCCCCATTCTCCCGCTTTCCATCACCCCGCCCCGTTCTCCCGCTTTCCATCACCCCGCCCCATTCTTCCGCTTTCCATCACCCCGCCCCATTCTCCCGCTTTCCATCACCCCACCCCATTCTCCCGCTTTCCATCACCCCGCCCCATTCTCCCGCTTTTCATCACCCCGCCCCATTCTCCCGCTTTCCATCACCCCGCCCCATTCTCTCGCTTTCCATCACCCCGCCCCATTCTCCCGCTTTCCATCACCCCGCCCCATTCTCCCGCTTTCCATCACCCCGCCCCATTCTCCCGCTTCCCATCACCCCTCCCTATTCTCCCTGTATCATCACCCCACCCCATTCTCCCGCTTTCCATCACCCCGCCCCATTCTCCCTCTTTCCATCACCCCGCCCCATTCTCCCGCTTTCCATCACCCCGCCCCATTCTCCCGCTTTCCATCACCCCGCCCCATTCTCCCGCTTTCCATCACCCCGCCCCATTCTCCCGCTTTCCATCACTCCGCCCCATTCTCCCGCTTTCTATCACCCCGCCCCATTCTCCCGCTTTTCATCACCCCGCCCCATTCTCCCGCTTTCCATCACCCCGCCCCATTCTCCCGCTTTCCATCACCCGCCCCATTCTCCCGCTTTCCATCACCCCGCCCCATTCTCCCGCTTTCCATCATCCCGCCCCATTCTCCTGCTTTCCATCACCCCGCCCCATTCTCCCTCTTTCCATCACCCCGCCCCGTTCTCCCGCTTTCCATCACCCCGCCCCGTTCTCCCGCTTTTTTTCACCCCGCCCCATTCTCCCTCTTTCCATCACCCCGCACAATTCTCCCGCTTTCCATCACCCCGCCCCATTCTCCCTCTTTCTATCACCCCGCCCCATTCTCCCACTTTCCATCACCCCGCCCCATTCTCCCACTTTCCATCACCCCGCCCCATTCTCCCGCTTTCCATCACCCCGCCCCATTCTCCCTCTTTCCATCACCTCGCCCCATTCTCCCGTTTTCCATCACCCCTCCCCATTCTCCCGCTTTCCATCAACCCGCCCCATTCTCTCTCTTTTCATCACCCCGCCCCATTCTCCCTCTTTCCATCACCCCGCCCCATTCTCCCTCTTTCCATCACCCTGCACGATTCTCCCGCTTTCCATCACCCCGCCCCATTCTCCCTCTTTCTATCACCCCGCCCCATTCTCCCGCTTTCCATCACCCCGCCCCATTCTCCCGCTTTCCATCACCCCGCCCCATTCTCCCGCTTTCCATCACCCCTCCCCATTCTCCCGCTTTCCATCACCCCGCCCCATTCTGGTCCACGTGTTTGTTGGACCAACAAGCCAGTTGGTCCACGTGTTTGTTGGACCAACAAGCCAGTTGCTCCACGTGTTTGTTGGACCAACAAGCCAGTTGCTCCACGTGGTCGACGTGTTTGTTGGACCAACAAGCGAGGTGGTCGACGTGTTTGATGGACCAACAAGCGAGGTGGTCGACGTGTTTGATGGACCAACAAGCCAGGTGGTCGACGTGTTTGATGGACCAACAAGCGAGGTGGTCGACGTGTTTGATGGACCAACAAGCGAGGTGGTCGACGTGTTTGATGGACCAACAAGCCAGGTGGTCGACGTGTTTGATGGACCAACGAGCCAGGTGGTCGACGTGTTTGATGGACCAACGAGCCAGGTGGTCGACGTGTTTGATGGACCAACGAGCCAGTTGGTCCACGTGTTTGTTGGACCAACGAGCCAGTTGGTCGACGTGTTTGATGGACCAACGAGCCAGTTGGTCCACGTGTTTGATGGACCAACGAGCCAGTTGGTCCACGTGTTTGATGGACCAACGAGCCAGTTGGTCCACGTGTTTGATGGACCAACGAGCCAGTTGGTCCACGTGTTTGATGGACCAACGAGCCAGTTGGTCCACGTGTTTGATGGACCAACGAGCCAGTTGGTCCACGTGTTTGATGGACCAACGAGCCAGGTGGTCGACGTGTTTGATGGACCAACGAGGCAGATGGTCGACGTGTTTGATGGACCAACGAGGCCGTTAGTCGACGTGTTTGATGGACCAACGAGGCCGTTGGTCGACGTGTTTGATGGACCAACGAGCCAGTTGGTCGACGTGTTTGATGGACCAACGAGCCAGTTGGTCGACGTGTTCCATGCACCAACGAGCCAGTTGGTCGACGTGTTCCATGCACCAACGAGCCAGTTGGTCGACGTGTTCCATGCACCAACGAGCCAGTTGGTCGACGTGTTCCATGCACCAACGAGCCAGTTGGTCGACGTGTTCCATGCACCAACGAGCCAGTTGGTCCGCGTGTTCCATGCACCAACGAGCCAGCTGGTCCACGTGTTCGATGGACCAACAAGCCAGCTGGTCCGCGTGTTTGTTGGACCAACAAGCCAGCTGGTCCGCGTGTTTGTTGGACCAACAAGCCAGCTGGTCCGCGTGTTTGTTGGACCAACAAGCCAGCTGGTCCGCGTGTTTGTTGGACCAACAAGCCAGCTGGTCCGCGTGTTTGTTGGACCAACAAGCCAGCTGGTCCGCGTGTTTGTTGGACCAACAAGCCAGCTGGTCCGCGTGTTTGTTGGACCAACAAGCCAGCTGGTCCGCGTGTTTGTTGGACCAACAAGCCAGCTGGTCCGCGTGTTTGTTGGACCAACAAGCCAGCTGGTCCGCGTGTTTGTTGGACCAACAAGCCAGCTGGTCCGCGCGTTCGTTGGACCAACAAGCCAGCTGGTCCGCGTGTTTGTTGGACCAACAAGCCAGCTGGTCCGCGTGTTTGTTGGACCAACAAGCCAGCTGGTCCGCGCGTTCGTTGGACCAACAAGCCAGCTGGTCCGCGTGTTTGTTGGACCAACAAGCCAGCTGGTCCGCGTGTTTGTTGGACCAACAAGCCAGCTGGTCCGCGTGTTTGATGGACCAACGAGCCAGTTGGTCCGCGTGTTCGTTGGACCAACGAGCCAGATGGTCCGCGTGTTCGTTGGACCAACAAGCCAGTTGGTCCGCGTGTTTGATGGACCAACAAGCCAGTTGGTCCGCGTGTTTGATAAACCAACGAGCCAGCTGGTCCACGTGTTTGTTGGACCAACGAGCCAGTTGGTCCACGTGTTTGTTGGACCAACAAGCCAGCTGGTCCACGTGTTTGATGGACCAACAAGCCAGCTGGTCCACGTGTTTGATGGACCAACAAGCCAGCTGGTCCACGTGTTTGTTGGACCAACAAGCCAGCTGGTCCACGTGTTTGTTGGACCAACAAGCCAGCTGGTCCACGTGTTTGATGGACCAACAAGCCAGCTGGTCCACGTGTTTGATGGACCAACAAGCCAGCTGGTCCACGTGTTTGTTGGACCAACAAGCCAGCTGGTCCACGTGTTTGTTGGACCAACAAGCCAGCTGGTCCACGTGTTCGATGGACCAACAAGCCAGCTGGTCCACGTGTTTGATGGACCAACAAGCCAGCTGGTCCACGTGTTTGATGGACCAACAAGCCAGCTGGTCCACGTGTTTGTTGGACCAACAAGCCAGCTGGTCCACGTGTTTGATGGACCAACAAGCCAGCTGGTCCACGTGTTTGATGGACCAACAAGCCAGCTGGTCCACGTGTTCGATGGACCAACAAGCCAGCTGGTCCACGTGTTTGTTGGACCAACAAGCCAGCTGGTCCACGTGTTTGATGGACCAACAAGCCAGCTGGTCCACGTGTTTGATGGACCAACAAGCCAGCTGGTCCACGTGTTCGTTGGACCAACAAGCCAGTTGGTCCACGTGTTCGATGGACCAACAAGCCAGTTGGTCCACGTGTTCGATGGACCAACAAGCCAGTTGGTCCCCGTCTTCGTTGGACCAACAAGCCAGTTGGTCCACGTGTTTGTTGGACCAACAAGCCAGTTGGACCAACTGGCTAGTTGGTCCACGTGTTCGATGGACCAACAAGCCAGTTGGTCCACGCGTTCGATGGACCAACAAGCCAGTTGGTCCACGCGTTCGATGGACCAACAAGCCAGTTGGTCCACGCGTTCGATGGACCAACAAGCCAGTTGGTCCACGCGTTCGATGGACCAACAAGCCAGTTGGTCCACGCGTTCGTTGGACCAACAAGCCAGTTGGTCCACGCGTTCGATGGACCAACAAGCCAGTTGGTCCACGCGTTCGATGGACCAACAACCAACAAGCCAGTTGGTCCACGCGTTCGATGGACCAACAAGCCAGTTGGTCCACGCGTTCGATGGACCAACAACCAACAAGCCAGTTGGTCCACGCGTTCGATGGACCAACAAGCCAGTTGGTCCACGCGTTCGATGGACCAACAACCAACAAGCCAGTTGGTCCACGCGTTCGATGGACCAACAAGCCAGTTGGTCCACGCGCTCGATGGACCAACAAGCCAGTTGGTCCACGCGCTCGATGGACCAACAAGCCAGTTGGTCCACGCGCTCGATGGACCAACAAGCCAGTTGGTCCACGCGCTCGATGGACCAACAAGCCAGTTGGTCCACGCGCTCGATGGACCAACAAGCCAGTTGGTCCACGCGTTCGTTGGACCAACAAGCCAGTTGGTCCACGCGCTCGATGGACCAACAAGCCAGTTGGTCCACGCGCTCGATGGACCAACAAGCCAGTTGGTCCACGCGCTCGATGGACCAACAAGCCAGTTGGTCCACGCGTTCGATGGACCAACAAGCCAGTTGGTCCACGCGCTCGTTGGACCAACAAGCCAGTTGGTCCACGCGCTCGTTGGACCAACAAGCCAGTTGGTCCACGCGCTCGATGGACCAACAAGCCAGTTGGTCCACGCGCTCGATGGACCAACAAGCCAGTTGGTCCACGCGCTCGATGGACCAACAAGCCAGTTGGTCCACGCGCTCGATGGACCAACAAGCCAGTTGGTCCACGCGCTCGATGGACCAACAAGCCAGTTGGTCCACGCGCTCGATGGACCAACAAGCCAGTTGGTCCACGCGCTCGATGGACCAACAAGCCAGTTGGTCCACGCGCTCGATGGACCAACAAGCCAGTTGGTCCACGCGCTCGATGGACCAACAAGCCAGTTGGTCCACGCGCTCGATGGACCAACAAGCCAAATGGTCCACGCGTTCGATGGACCAACAAGCCAGTTGGTCCACGCGCTCGATGGACCAACAAGCCAGTTGGTCCACGCGCTCGATGGACCAACAAGCAAGTAGGTCCACGTGTTCGATGGACCAACAAGCCAGCTGGTCCACGTGTTCGATGGACCAACAAGCCAGCTGGTCCACGCGTTCGATGGACCAACAAGCCAGTTCGTCCACCCGTTCGATGGACCAACAAGCCAGCTGGTCCACGTGTTCGATGGACCAACAAGCCAGCTGGTCCACGTGTTCGATGGACCAACAAGCCAGCTGGTCCACGTGTTCGATGGACCAACAAGCCAGCTGGTCCACGTGTTCGATGGACCAACAAGCCAGCTGGTCCACGTGTTCGATGGACCAACAAGCCAGCTGGTCCACGTGTTCGATGGACCAACAAGCCAGCTGGTCCACGCGTTCGATGGACCAACAATGGTCCACGTGTTCGATGGACCAACAAGCCAGCTGGTCCACGTGTTCGATGGACCAACAAGCCAGCTGGTCCACGTGTTCGATGGACCAACAAGCCAGCTGGTCCACGTGTTCGATGGACCAACAAGCCAGCTGGTCCACGCGTTCGATGGACCAACAAGCCAGTTGGTCCACGCGTTCGATGGACCAACAAGCCAGTTGGTCCGCGCGTTCGATGGACCAACGAGCCAGTTGGTCCACGAACAAGCCAGTTGGTCCTCGTATTCGATGGACCAACAAGCCAGCTGGTCCACGTGTTCGATGGACCAACAAGCCAGTTGGTCCACGTGTTCGATGGACCAACAAGCCAGCTGGTCCACGTGTTCGATGGACCAACAAGCCAGCTGGTCCACGTGTTCGATGGACCAACAAGCCAGCTGGTCCACGTGTTCGATGGACCAACAGGTCAGCTGGTCCACGTGTTCGATGGACCAACAAGCCAGTTGGTCCACGTGTTCGATGGACCAACAAGCCAGTTGGTCCACGTGTTCGATGGACCAACAAGCCAGTTGGTCCACGTGTTCGATGGACCAACAAGCCAGTTGGTCCACGTGTTCGATGGACCAACAAGCCAGCTGGTCCACGTGTTCGATGGACCAACAAGCCAGCTGGTCCACGTGTTCGATGGACCAACAAGCCAGCTGGTCCACGTGTTCGATGGACCAACAAGCCAGTTGGTCCACGTGTTCGATGGACCAACAAGCCAGCTGGTCCACGTGTTCGATGGACCAACAAGCCAGCTGGTCCACGTGTTCGATGGACCAACAAGCCAGCTGGTCCACGTGTTCGATGGACCAACAAGCCAGGTGGTCGACGTGTTCGATGGACCAACAAGCCAGCTGGTCCACGTGTTCGATGGACCAACAAGCCAGCTGGTCCACGTGTTCGATGGACCAACAAGCCATCTGGTCCAACCGGGTTGTTGGACCAACAAGCCAGTTGGTCGACGTGTTTGATGGACCAATGAGCCAGGTGGTCGACGTGTTTGATGGACCAACGAGCCAGTTGGTCCACGTGTTTGATGGACCAACGAGCCAGTTGGTCCACGTGTTTGATGGACCAACGAGCCAGTTGGTCGACGTGTTTGTTGGACCAACGAGCCAGTTGGTCCACGTGTTTGATGGACCAACGAGCCAGTTGGTCGACGTGTTTGATGGACCAACAAGCCAGTTGGTCCGCGTGCTTGACGTGTTTGTTGGACCAACAAGCCAGCTGGTCCGCGTGTTTGTTGGACCAACAAGCCAGCTGGTCCGCGTGTTTGTTGGACCAACAAGCCAGCTGGTCCGCGTGTTTGTTGGACCAACAAGCCAGCTGGTCCGTATCTTTGTTGGACCAACAAGCCAGCTGGTCCGCGTGTTTGTTGGACCAACAAGCCAGCTGGTCCGCGTGTTTGTTGGACCACAAGCTAGCTGGTCCGCGTGTTTGTTGGACCAACAAGCCAGCTGGTCCGCGTGTTTGTTGGACCAACAAGCCAGCTGGTCCGCGTGTTTGTTGGACCAACAAGCCAGCTGGTCCGCGTGTTTGATGGACCAACAAGCCAGCTGGTCCGCGTGTTTGATGGACCAACAAGCCAGCTGGTCCGCGTGTTTGATGGACCAACAAGCCAGCTGGTCCACGTGTTTGATGGACCAACAAGCCAGCTGGTCCACGTGTTTGATGGACCAACAAGCCAGCTGGTCCACGTGTTTGATGGACCAACAAGCCAGTTGGTCGACGTGTTTGTTGGACCAACAAGCCAGTTGGTCGACGTGTTTGTTGGACCAACAAGCCAGTTGGTCGACGTGTTTGTTGGACCAACAAGCCAGTTGGTCGACGTGTTTGTTGGACCAACAAGCCAGTTGGTCCACGTGTTTGATGGACCAACAAGCCAGCTGGTCCACGTGTTTGATGGACCAACAAGCCAGCTGGTCCACGTGTTTGTTGGACCAACAAGCCAGTTGGTCCACGTGTTTGTTGGACCAACAAGCCAGTTGGTCCACGTGTTTGTTGGACCAACAAGCCAGCTGGTCCACGTGTTTGTTGGACCAACAAGCCAGCTGGTCCACGTGTTTGTTGGACCAACAAGCCAGCTGGTCCACGTGTTTGATGGACCAACAAGCCAGCTGGTCCACGTGTTTGATGGACCAACAAGCCAGCTGGTCCACGTGTTTGATGGACCAACAAGCCAGCTGGTCCACGTGTTTGATGGACCAACAAGCCAGCTGGTCCACGTGTTTGATGGACCAACAAGCCAGCTGGTCCACGTGTTTGATGGACCAACAAGCCAGTTGGTCCACGTGTTTGTTGGACCAACAAGCCAGCTGGTCCACGTGTTTGATGGACCAACAAGCCAGCTGGTCCACGTGTTTGTTGGACCAACAAGCCAGCTGGTCCACGTGTTTGATGGACCAACAAGCCAGCTGGTCCACGTGTTTGATGGACCAACAAGCCAGCTGGTCCACGTGTTTGATGGACCAACAAGCCAGCTGGTCCACGTGTTCGTTGGACCAACAAGCCAGTTGGACCAACTGGCTAGTTGGTCCACGCGCTCGATGGACCAACAAGCCAGTTGGTCCACGCGCTCGATGGACCAACAAGCCAGTTGGTCCACGCGCTCGATGGACCAACAAGCCAGTTGGTCCACGCGCTCGATGGACCAACAAGCCAGTTGGTCCACGCGCTCGTTGGACCAACAAGCCAGTTGGTCCACGCGCTCGTTGGACCAACAAGCCAGTTGGTCCACGCGCTCGATGGACCAACAAGCCAGTTGGTCCACGCGCTCGATGGACCAACAAGCCAGTTGGTCCACGCGCTCGATGGACCAACAAGCCAGTTGGTCCACGCGCTCGATGGACCAACAAGCCAGTTGGTCCACGCGCTCGATGGACCAACAAGCCTGTTGGTCCACGCGCTCGTTGGACCAACAAGCCAGTTGGTCCACGCGCTCGATGGACCAACAAGCCAGTTGGTCCACGCGCTCGATGGACCAACAAGCCAGTTGGTCCACGCGCTCGATGGACCAACAAGCCAGTTGGTCCACGCGCTCGATGGACCAACAAGCCAGTTGGTCCACGCGCTCGATGGACCAACAAGCCAGTTGGTCCACGCGCTCGTTGGACCAACAAGCCAGTTGGTCCACGCGCTCGATGGACCAACAAGCCAGTTGGTCCACGCGCTCGATGGACCAACAAGCCAGTTGGTCCACGCGCTCGCTTTCCATCACCCCGCCCAATTCTCCCGCTTTCCATCACCCCGCCCCATTTTCCCGCTTTCTATCACCCCGCCCAATTCTCTTGCTTTCCATCACCCCGCCCCATTCTCCCTCTTTCCATCACCTCGCCCCATTCTCCCTCTTTCCATCACCCCGCCCCATTCTCCCGCTTTCCATCACCCCGCCCCATTCTCCCGCTTTCCATCACCTCGCCCCATTCTCCCGCTTTCAATCACCCCACTCCATTCTCCCGCTTTCCATCACCCCGCCCCATTCTCCCGCTTTCCATCACCCCGCCCCATTCTCCCTCTTTCCATCACCCCGCCCCATTCTCCCGCTTTCCATCACCTCGCCCCATTCTCCAGCTTTCCATCACCTCACTCCATTCTCCCGCTTTCCATCACCTCGCCCAATTCTCCCGCTTTCCATCATCCCTCCCCATTCTCCCTCTTTCCATCACCCCGCCCCGTTCTCCCTCTTTCCATCATCCCGCCCCGTTCTCCCGCTTTTTATCACCCCGCCCTATTCTCCCTCTTTCCATCACCCCGCACGATTCTCCCGCTTTCCATCACCCCGCCCCATTCTCCCTCTTTCTATCACCCCGCCCCATTCTCCCTCTTTCCATCACCCCGCCCCATTCTCCCTGCTTCCATCACCTCGCCCCATTCTCCCGTTTTCCATCACCCCTCCCCATTCTCCCTCTTTCCATCACCCCGCCCCATTCTCGCGCGGGATTTCCATCACCCCGCCCCATTCTCCCGATTTCCATCACCCCGCCCCATTCTCCCGCTTTCCATCACCCCGCCCCATTCTCCCGCTTTCCATCACCGCGCCCCATTCTCCCGCTTTCCATCACCCCGCCCCATTCTCCCTCTTTCCATCACCCCACCCCATTCTCCCTCTTTCCATCACCCCGCCCCATTCTCCCGCTTTCCATCACCCCGCCCCATTCTCCCGATTTCCATCACCCCGCCCCATTCTCCCTCTTTCCATCACCCCGCCCCATTCTCCCGCTTTCCATCACCCTGCCCCATTCTCCCGCTTTCCATCATCCCGCCCCATTCTCCCTCTTTCCATCACCCTGCCCCATTCTCCCTCTATCCATCACCCCGCCCCATTCTCCCGCTTTCCATCGCCCCGCCCCATTCTCCCGCTTTCCATCACCCCGCCCTATTCTCTTGCTTTCCATCACCCCACCCCATTCTCCCTCTTTCCATCACCCCGCCCCATTCTCCCTCTTTCCATCACCCCGCTCCATTCTCTCGCTTTCCATCGCCCCATTCTCCCGCTTTCCATCACCCCGCCCCATTCTCCCGCTTTCCATCACCCCGCCCCATTCTCCCTCTTTCCATCACCCCGCCCCATTCTCACTCTATCCATCACCCCGCCCAATTCTCCCGCTTTCCATCACCCCGCCCCATTTTCCCGCTTTCCATCACCCCGCCCCATTCTCTTGCCTTCCATCACCCCGCCCCATTCTCCCTCTTTCCATCACCCCGCCCCATTCTCACTCTATCCATCACCCTACCCAATTCTCCCGCTTTCCATCACCCCGCCCCATTTTCCCGCTTTCCATCACCCCGCCCCATTCTCCCTCTTTCCATCACCCCGCCCCATTCTCACTCTATCCATCACCCCGCCCAATTCTCCCGCTTTCCATCACCCCGCCCCATTTTCCCGCTTTCCATCACCCCGCCCCATTCTCCCTCTTTCCATCACCTCGCCCCATTCTCCCTCTTTCCATCACCCCGCCCTATTCTCCCGCTTTCCATCACCTCGCCCCATTCTCCCGCTTTCCATCACCCCACTCCATTCTCCCGCTTTCCATCACCCCGCCCCATTCTCCCGCTTTCCATCACCCCGCCCCATTCTCCCTCTTTCCATCACCCCGCCTCATTCTCCCGCTTTCCATCACCTCGCCCCATTCTCCCGCTTTCCATCACCTCGCCCAATTCTCCCGCTTTCCATCATCCCTCCTTATTCTCCCTCTTTCCATCACCCCGGCCCATTCTCCCTCTTTCCATCACCCCGCCCCGTTCTCCCGCTTTCTATCACCCCGCCCCATTCTCCCTCTTTCCATCACCCCGCACGATTTTCCCGCTTTCCATCACCCCGCCCCATTCTCCCTCTTTCTATCACCCCGCCCCATTCTCCCTCTTTCCATCACCCCGCCCCATTCTCCCTGCTTCCATCACCTCGCCCCATTCTCCCGCTTTCCATCACCCCGCTCCATTCTCCCTCTTTCCATCACCCCGCCCCATTCTCGCGCTTTCCATCACCCCGCCCCATCCTCTCGATTTCCATCACCCCGCCCCATTCTCCCGCTTTCCATCACCCCGCCCCATTCTCCCGCTTTCCATCACCCCGCCCCATTCTACCGCTTTCCATCACAGCGCCCCATTCTCCCTCTTTCCATCACCCCGCCCCATTCTCCATCTTTTCATCACCCCGCCCCGTTCTCCCGCTTTCCATCACCCCGCCCCATTCTCCCGATTTCCATCACCCCGCCCCATTCTCCCGCTTTCCATCACCCCGCCCCATTCTCCCGCTTTCCATCACCCCGCCCCATTCTCTTGCATTCCATCACCCCGCCCCATTCTCCCTCTTTCCATCACCCCGCCCCATTCTCCCGATTTCCATCACCCCGCCTCATTCTCCTACTTTCCATCACCCCTCCCCATTCTCCCGCTTTCCATCACCCGCCCCATTCTCCCGCTTTCCATCACCCCGCCCCATTCTCCCGCTTTCCATCACCCCACCCCATTCTCCCGCTTTCCATCACCCCGCCCCATTCTCCCGCTTTCCATCACCCCGCCCCATTCTTCCGCTTTCCATCACCCCGCCCCATTCTCCCGCTTTCCATCACCCCACCCCATTCTCCCGCTTTCCATCACCCCGCCCCATTCTCCCGCTTTTCATCACCCCGCCCCATTCTCCCGCTTTCCATCACCCCGCCCCATTCTCTCGCTTTCCATCACCCCGCCCCATTCTCCCGCTTTCCATCACCCCGCCCCATTCTCCCGCTTTCCATCACCCCGCCCCATTCTCCCGCTTCCCATCACCCCTCCCTATTCTCCCTGTATCATCACCCCACCCCATTCTCCCGCTTTCCATCACCCCGCCCCATTCTCCCTCTTTCCATCACCCCGCCCCATTCTCCCGCTTTCCACCACCCCGCCCCATTCTCCCGCTTTCCATCACCCCGCCCCATTCTCCCGCTTTCCATCACCCCGCCCCATTCTCCCGCTTTCCATCACTCCGCCCCATTCTCCCGCTTTCTATCACCCCGCCCCATTCTCCCGCTTTTCATCACCCCGCCCCATTCTCCCGCTTTCCATCACCCCGCCCTATTTTCCCGCTGTCCATAACCCCGCCCCATTCTCCCGCTTTCCATCATCCCGCCCCATTCTCCCGCTTTCCATCACCCCGCCCCATTCTCCCGCTTTCCATCACCCCGCCCCATTCTCCCTCTTTCCATCACCCTGCCCCATTCTCCCTCCTTCCATCACCCCGCCCCATTCTCCCGTTTTCCATCACCTCGCCACATTCTCCCGCTTTCCATCACCCCGCCCCATTCTCCCTCTTTCCATCACCCCTTCTCCCTCTTTCCATCACCCCACCCCATTCTCCCGCTTTCCATCAACCCGCCCCATTCTCCCTCTTTCCATCACCCCGCCCCATTCTCCCGCTTTCCATCACCCCGCCCCATTCTCCCTCTTTCCATCACCCCGCCCCATTCTCCCGCTTTCCATCACCCCGCCCTATTCTCCCTCTTTCCATCACCCCGCCCCATTCTCCTTGTTAATTTCCATCACCCCGCCCCATTCTCCCTCTTTCCATCACCCCACTCCATTCTCCCGCTTTCCATCACCCCGCCCCATTCTCCCACTTTCCATCACCCCGCCCCATTCTCCCTCTTTCCATCACCCCGCCCCATTCTCCCGCTTTCCATCACCCCGCCCCATTCTCCCGATTTCCATCACCCCGCCCCATTCAACCGCTTTCCATCACCCCGCCCCATTCTCCCGTTTTCCATCACCCCGCCCCATTCTCCCGCTTTCCATCACCCCGCCCCATTCTCCCGCTTTCCATCACCCCGCCCCATTCTCCCGTTTTCCATCACCCCGCCCCATTCTCCCGCTTTCCATCACCCCGCCACATTCTCCCGCTTTCCATCACCCCGCCCCATTCTCCCGCTTTCCACCACCCCGCCCCATTCTCCCTCTTTCCATCACCCCGCCCCATTCTGGTCCACGTGTTTGTTGGACCAACAAGCCAGTTGGTCCACGTGTTTGTTGGACCAACAAGCCAGTTGGTCCACGTGTTTGTTGGACCAACAAGCCAGTTGCTCCACGTGTTTGTTGGACCAACAAGCCAGTTGCTCCACGTGTTTGTTGGACCAACAAGCCAGTTGGTCCACGTGTTTGTTGGACCAACAAGCCAGTTGCTCGACCTGTTTGTTGGACCAACAAGCCAGTTGGTCGACGTGTTTGTTGGACCAACAAGCCAGGTGGTCGACGTGTTTGATGGACCAACAAGCCAGGTGGTCGACGTGTTTGATGGACCAACAAGCCAGGTGGTCGACGTGTTTGATGGACCAACAAGCCAGGTGGTCGACGTGTTTGATGGACCAACAAGCCAGGTGGTCGACGTGTTTGATGGACCAACAAGCCAGGTGGTCGACGTGTTTGATGGACCAACAAGCCAGGTGGTCGACGTGTTTGATGGACCAACAAGCCAGGTGGTCGACGAGTTTGATGGAGTAACAAGCCAGCTGGTCCACGTGTTTGTTGGACCAACAAGCCAGGTTGTCCACGTGTTTGTTGGACCAACAAGCCAGTTGGTCCACGTGTTTGTTGGACCAACAAGCCAGGTTGTCCACGTGTTTCATGGACCAACAAGCCAGTTGGTCGACGTGTTTGATGGACCAACAAGCCAGTTGGTCCACGTGTTTGTTGGACCAACAAGCCAGTTGGTCGACGTGTTTGATGGACCAACAAGCCAGTTGGTCCACGTGTTTGTTGGACCAACAAGCCAGTTGGTCCACGTGTTTGATGGACCAACAAGCCAGCTGGTCCGCGTGTTTGTTGGACCAACAAGCCAGCTGGTCCGCGTGTTTGTTGGACCAACAAGCCAGTTGGTCCGCGTGTTTGATGGACCAACAAGCCAGTTGGTCCGCGTGTTTGATGGACCAACAAGCCAGTTGGTCCGCGTGTTTGATGGACCAACAAGCCAGTTGGTCCGCGTGTTTGATGGACCAACAAGCCAGTTGGTCCGCGTGTTTGATGGACCAACAAGCCAGTTGGTCCGCGTGTTTGATGGACCAACAAGCCAGTTGGTCCGCGTGTTTGATGGACCAACAAGCCAGTTGGTCCGCGTGTTTGATGGACCAACAAGCCAGTTGGTCCGCGTGTTTGATGGACCAACAAGCCTGGTGGTCCGCGTGTTTATTGGACCAACGAGCCAGGTGGTCCGCGTGTTTGATGGACCAACGAGCCAGTTGGTCGACGTGTTTGTTGGACCAACGAGCCAGTTGGTCGACGTGTTTGATGGACCAACGAGCCAGTTGGTCGACGTGTTTGATGGACCAACGAGCCAGTTGGTCCACGTGTTTGATGGACCAACGAGCCAGTTGGTCCACGTGTTTGATGGACCAACGAGCCAGTTGGTCGACGTGTTTGTTGGACCAACGAGCCAGTTGGTCCACGTGTTTGTTGGACCAACAAGCCAGTTGGTCGACGTGTTTGATGGACCAACAAGCCAGTTGGTCCGCGTGTTTGACGTGTTTGTTGGACCAACAAGCCAGTTGGTCCGCGTGTTTGTTGGACCAACAAGCCAGCTGGTCCGCGTGTTTGTTGGACCAACAAGCCAGCTGGTCCGCGTGTTTGTTGGACCAACAAGCCAGCTGGTCCGCGTGTTTGTTGGACCAACAAGCCAGCTGGTCCGCGTGTTTGTTGGACCAACAAGCCAGCTGGTCCGCGTGTTTGTTGGACCAACAAGCCAGTTGGTCCGCGTGTTTGTTGGACCAACAAGCCAGCTGGTCCGCGTGTTTGTTGGACCAACAAGCCAGCTGGTCCGCGTGTTTGTTGGACCAACAAGCCAGCTGGTCCGCGTGTTTGTTGGACCAACAAGCCAGCTGGTCCGCGTGTTTGATGGACCAACAAGCCAGCTGGTCCACGTGTTTGATGAAGGCTTGAAGGATTGAAGGCTTGAAGGCTTGAAGGCTTGAAGGCTTGAGGGCTTGAAGGCTTGAGGGCTTGAAGGCTTGAAGGCTTGAGGGCTTGAGGGCTTGAAGGCTTGAGGGCTTGAGGGCTTGAGGGCTTGAAGGCTTGAGGGCTTGAGGGCTTGAAGGCTTGAGGGCTTGAGGGCTTGAAGGCTTGAAGGCTTGAAGGCTTGAAGGCTTGAGGGCTTGAGGGCTTGAAGGCTTGAAGGCTTGAAGGCTTGAAGGCTTGAAGGCTTGAGGGCTTGAGGGCTTGAGGGCTTGAGGGCTTGAAGGCTTGAGGGCTTGAGGGCTTGAGGGCTTGAAGGCTTGAAGGCTTGAGGGCTTGAGGGCTTGAGGGCTTGAGGGCTTGAAGGCTTGAGGGCTTGAAGGCTTGAAGGCTTGAAGGCTTGAAGGCTTGAAGGCTTGAGAGCTTGAGGGCTTTAGGGCTTGAGGGCTTGAAAGCTTGAAGGCTTGAAGGCTTGAAGGCTTGAAGGCTTGAAGGCTTGAAGGCTTGAAGGCTTGAGGGCTTGAGGGCTTGAAGGCTCGAAGGCTTGAAGGCTTGAAGACTTAAAGGCTTGAGGGCTTGAGGGCTTGAGGGCTTGAGGGCTTGAAGGCTTGAGGGCTTGAGGGCTTGAGGGCTTGAAGGCTTGAAGGCTTGAGGGCTTGAGGGCTTGAGGGCTTGAGGGCTTGAAGGCTTGAGGGCTTGAAGGCTTGAAGGCTTGAAGGCTTGAAGGCTTGAAGGCTTGAGGGCTTGAGGGCTTGAGGGCTTGAGGGCTTGAAGGCTTGAAAGCTTGAAGGCTTGAAGGCTTGAAGGCTTGAAGGCTTGAAGGCTTGAAGGCTTGAAGGCTTGAAGGCTTGAGGGCTTGAGGGCTTGAAGGCTTGAGGGCTTGAAGGCTTGAAGGCTTGAAGGCTTGAAGGCTTGAAGGCTTGAAGGCTTGAAGGCTTGAAGGCTTGAAGGCTTGAGGGCTTGAGGGCTTGAAGGCTTGAGGGCTTGAAGGCTTGAAGGCTTGAAGGCTTGAAGGCTTGAAGGCTTGAGGGCTTGAGGGCTTGAAGGCTTGAAGGCTTGAAGGCTTGAAGGCTTGAGGGCTTGAAGGCTTGAAGGATTGAAGGCTTGAAGGCTTGAAGGCTTGAAGGCTTGAGGGCTTGAGGGCTTGAGGGCTTGAGGGCTTGAAGGCTTGAAGGCTTGAGGGCTTGAGGGCTTGAAGGCTTGAGGGCTTGAAGGCTTGAAGGCTTGAGGGCTTGAAGGCTTGAAGGCTTGAGGGCTTGAGGGCTTGAGGGCTTGAGGGCTTGAGGGCTTGAGGGCTTGAGGGCTTGAGGGCTTGAAGGCTTGAAGGCTTGAAGGCTTGAAGGCTTGAAGGCTTGAAGGCTTGAAGGCTTGAGGGCTTGAGGGCTTGAAGGCTTGAAGGCTTGAAGGCTTGAAGGCTTGAGGGCTTGAAGGATTGAAGGCTTGAAGGCTTGAAGGCTTGAAGGCTTGAGGGCTTGAGGGCTTGAGGGCTTGAGGGCTTGAAGGCTTGAAGGCTTGAGGGCTTGAGGGCTTGAGGGCTTGAGGGCTTGAGGGCTTGAAGGCTTGAAGGCTTGAGGGCTTGAAGGCTTGAAGGCTTGAGGGCTTGAGGGCTTGAGGGCTTGAGGGCTTGAGGGCTTGAGGGCTTGAGGGCTTGAGGGCTTGAGGGCTTGAAGGCTTGAAGGCTTGAAGGCTTGAAGGCTTGAAGGCTTGAAGGCTTGAGGGCTTGAAGGCTTGAGGGCTTGAGGGCTTGAAGGCTTGAAGGCTTGAAGGCTTGAAGGCTTGAGGGCTTGAGGGCTTGAGGGCTTGAAGGCTTGAAGGCTTGAAGGCTTGAAGGCTTGAGGGCTTGAGGGCTTGAAGGCTTGAAGGCTTGAAGGCTTGAAGGCTTGAAGGCTTGAGGGCTTGAGGGCTTGAGGGCTTGAGGGCTTGAAGGCTTGAGGGCTTGAGGGCTTGAGGGCTTGAAGGCTTGAAGGCTTGAGGGCTTGAGGGCTTGAGGGCTTGAGGGCTTGAAGGCTTGAGGGCTTGAAGGCTTGAAGGCTTGAAGGCTTGAGAGCTTGAGGGCTTTAGGGCTTGAGGGCTTGAAAGCTTGAAGGCTTGAAGGCTTGAAGGCTTGAAGGCTTGAAGGCTTGAAGGCTTGAGGGCTTGAGGGCTTGAAGGCTTGAAGGCTTGAAGGCTTGAAGGCTTGAAGGCTTGAGGGCTTGAGGGCTTGAGGGCTTGAGGATCTTGAAGGCTTGAGGGCTTGAGGGCTTGAGGGCTTGAAGGCTTGAAGGCTTGAGGGCTTGAGGGCTTGAGGGCTTGAGGGCTTGAAGGCTTGAGGGCTTGAAGGCTTGAAGGCTTGAAGGCTTGAAGGCTTGAAGGCTTGAGGGCTTGAGGGCTTGAGGGCTTGAGGGCTTGAAGGCTTGAAAGCTTGAAGGCTTGAAGGCTTGAAGGCTTGAAGGCTTGAAGGCTTGAAGGCTTGAAGGCTTGAAGGCTTGAGGGCTTGAGGGCTTGAAGGCTTGAGGGCTTGAAGGCTTGAAGGCTTGAAGGCTTGAAGGCTTGAGGGCTTGAGGGCTTGAAGGCTTGAAGGCTTGAAAGCTTGAAGGCTTGAAGGCTTGAAGGCTTGAAGGCTTGAAGGCTTGAAGGCTTGAGGGCTTGAGGGCTTGAAGGCTTGAGGGCTTGAAGGCTTGAAGGCTTGAAGGCTTGAAGGCTTGAAGGCTTGAGGGCTTGAGGGCTTGAAGGCTTGAAGGCTTGAAGGCTTGAAGGCTTGAGGGCTTGAAGGCTTGAGGGCTTGAGGGCTTGAGGGCTTGAGGGCTTGAAGGCTTGAAGGCTTGAGGGCTTGAGGGCTTGAGGGCTTGAAGGCTTGAGGGCTTGAAGGCTTGAAGGCTTGAGGGCTTGAGGGCTTGAGGGCTTGAGGGCTTGAGGGCTTGAGGGCTTGAGGGCTTGAAGGCTTGAAGGCTTGAAGGCTTGAAGGCTTGAAGGCTTGAAGGCTTGAGAGCTTGAGGGCTTTAGGGCTTGAGGGCTTGAAAGCTTGAAGGCTTGAAGGCTTGAAGGCTTGAAGGCTTGAGGGCTTGAAGGCTTGAAGGCTTGAAGGCTTGAAGGCTTGAGGGCTTGAGGGCTTGAAGGCTTGAGGGCTTGAAGGCTTGAAGGCTTGAAGGCTTGAAGGCTTGAGGGCTTGAGGGCTTGAAGGCTTGAAGGCTTGAAAGCTTGAAGGCTTGAAGGCTTGAAGGCTTGAAGGCTTGAGGGCTTGAAGGCTTGAAGGCTTGAGGGCTTGAGGGCTTGAAGGCTTGAGGGCTTGAAGGCTTGAAGGCTTGAAAGCTTGAAGGCTTGAAGGCTTGAAGGCTTGAAGGCTTGAAGGCTTGAAGGCTTGAAGGCTTGAAGGCTTGAGGGCTTGAGGGCTTGAAGGCTTGAGGGCTTGAAGGCTTGAAGGCTTGAAGGCTTGAAGGCTTGAGGGCTTGAGGGCTTGAAGGCTTGAAAGCTTGAAGGCTTGAAGGCTTGAAGGCTTGAAGGCTTGAAGGCTTGAGGGCTTGAGGGCTTGAAGGCTTGAGGGCTTGAAGGCTTGAAGGCTTGAAGGCTTGAAGGCTTGAAGGCTTGAGGGCTTGAGGGCTTGAAGGCTTGAAGGCTTGAAGGCTTGAAGGCTTGAGGGCTTGAAGGCTTGAAGGATTGAAGGCTTGAAGGCTTGAAGGCTTGAAGGCTTGAGGGCTTGAGGGCTTGAGGGCTTGAGGGCTTGAAGGCTTGAAGGCTTGAGGGCTTGAGGGCTTGAGGGCTTCAAGGCTTGAGGGCTTCAAGGTTCGAAGGCTTGAGGGCTTGAAGGCTTGAAGGCTTGAGGGCTTGAGGGCTTGAGGGCTTGAGGGCTTGAGGGCTTGAGGGCTTGAGGGCTTGAAGGCTTGAAGGCTTGAAGGCTTGAAGGCTTGAAGGCTTGAAGGCTTGAGAGCTTGAGGGCTTTAGGGCTTGAGGGCTTGAAAGCTTGAAGGCTTGAAGGCTTGAAGGCTTGAAGGCTTGAAGGCTTGAAGGCTTGAAGGCTTGAAGGCTTGAAGGCTTGAGGGCTTGAGGGCTTGAAGGCTTGAGGGCTTGAAGGCTTGAAGGCTTGAAGGCTTGAAGGCTTGAGGGCTTGAGGGCTTGAAGGCTTGAGGGCTTGAAGGCTTGAAGGCTTGAAGGCTTGAAGGCTTGAAGGCTTGAGGGCTTGAGGGCTTGAAGGCTTGAAGGCTTGAAGGCTTGAAGGCTTGAGGGCTTGAAGGATTGAAGGATTGAAGGCTTGAAGGCTTGAAGGCTTGAAGGCTTGAAGGATTGAAGGCTTGAAGGCTTGAAGGCTTGAAGGCTTGAGGGCTTGAGGGCTTGAGGGATCGAGGGCTTGAAGGCTTGAGGGCTTGAGGGCTTGAGGGCTTGAGGGCTTCAAGGCTTGAGGGCTTCAAGGCTCGAAGGCTTGAGGGCTTGAAGGCTTGAAGGCTTGAGGGCTTGAGGGCTTGAGGGCTTGAGGGCTTGAGGGCTTGAGGGCTTGAGGGCTTGAGGGCTTGAGGGCTTGAGGGCTTGAAGGCTTGAAGGCTTGAAGGCTTGAAGGCTTGAAGGCTTGAAGGCTTGAGGGCTTGAGGGCTTGAAGGCTTGAAGGCTTGAAGGCTTGAAGGCTTGAGGGCTTGAAGGATTGAAGGCTTGAAGGCTTGAAGGCTTGAAGGCTTGAGGGCTTGAGGGCTTGAGGGCTTGAGGGCTTGAAGGCTTGAAGGCTTGAGGGCTTGAGGGCTTGAGGGCTTGAAGGCTTGAGGGCTTGAAGGCTTGAAGGCTTGAGGGCTTGAAGGCTTGAAGGCTTGAGGGCTTGAGGGCTTGAGGGCTTGAGGGCTTGAGGGCTTGAGGGCTTGAGGGCTTGAGGGCTTGAGGGCTTGAGGGCTTGAAGGCTTGAAGGCTTGAAGGCTTGAAGGCTTGAAGGCTTGAAGGCTTGAAGGCTTGAAGGCTTGAGGGCTTGAGGGCTTGAAGGCTTGAGGGCTTGAAGGCTTGAAGGCTTGAAGGC